TAAAAACTTTTACAAGTCAGTAAGGCAGATTGTCCAAGAGATAAATGAAAATGAATCAGGCACTCCACGAAAGAGACAGCCAAATGGTTAATCAAATATATGAGTCCCACCAAAATGGTTAAAAGGAAAAAGACTGACAATATCAAACTTGGCAAGGCTGTGGAGCAACTGTGACACTCATATACTGATGGTGAAGTATAAACCAGTACAGCCACTTTGGAAAACAACTTGGCAGGATTTACAAAAGCTGAGCATATGGACAGGGCCTGAGCCAGCGATGCCACTGCTAGCTATGTAACCAAATGAAAAGTGCACACACGTGCCCTGAGAGACATGCACAGGAATGTCCAAAACAGCCTCTTTGTAATAGCTGACAACTGAAAACGGCACATCCCCAACAGGAGAATGGATAAATGAATGCAGCACAGTCATATGATAGAATTCCTCTAACAACAAAAGCAAATAACAAGTACAGGCAACAGCATGGATGATTCTTACAAACCTGATGTGGAACAAGAGAAGCTCAATCAGAGAAAAATGAATGGAATTACACAGCACACAAAGACCAAAAACCAAATTACAGTGTGTGGGGAGGCATGTTCCTTCAGTGTAAATCTCTGAAGGAAAGCAAAGAAAAGGAAACTAAAGAGAATGACTACTTAACGCAGTATTCTGTGTTAAATCCTAGATTTTCTTTTCTAAAGTCAACATGTAGCCTGTACGAGGGACAGCTGGCAAAATTCAAGCATCAACTGTAAATGAAATAACAGTATTCTCTCCAGGTTAAACTTCCTGAATCTGGTAACTGTATTACAGTTGTGTAAGAAGGCGTCCTTGTTCTTGGAGATATGTGCCAAAACATTTACGAGTAAAGGGTCGTGTCTTCAACTTATTCACAACTATCTCACCCAAAATAATTACAATGTGGGGGGAGGGGAGAAAAAAATAAAGCAGTTGTGGCAACATTAACTGGTAACAATGGGTAGGGGTTAAGTGGATGCTTGCTGTATTCTTATCCATACAATTGAAGGTTTCAATTTTTTGAAAATAATAAAAAATAAAAGTTAAAAAAAAAAGCACAAAGACATAACTGTCACATATGTCCATATAATGGTATCCCCGGGGAGGAAGGAAGACTAGGGGTATGTCAGAAGGGCTTCTAAAAAGACAGTCATGTTCGGCTTCTTTTTTTTTTTTTTTTTTTGAGTTGG